GGCAGATCGGCCCGAATTATGGATCGGATTTAGGCCGGCATTTAGAAATAACAACTAACTATATTACACCGGTTTACTTAGTAAGTAGGTTATGGTTTCATTAGTAAAATTTTGGGCAAAATTAATCAACGCCGGTGCATTCCGACCCATAATTCGGGCCGATCTGCTGAATTTTTGTTTCTATTCGTATACTGCGGTTAATCATATGTTCCAATAATCAACAGATAACGATGAACATAAACTTCGTATTATTCATGCACAATATCAAAAATTGATTTTAAATGGGAAAATCATCCAAGGATAAACGTGATATTTATTACCGATTAGCAAAAGAGCAGGGTTGGAGAGCTCGCAGTGCATTTAAATTATTACAGATAGACGAAGAATTTAATATATTTGAAGGTGATTTGATTAAATTTTCACCATCATTCTTTTGCAAAAAAAAAAATAAAATATATTTGTAAAGTTTAGGCGTTCAGCGTGCTGTTGATTTATGTGCTGCACCAGGCAGCTGGTCTCAAGTCTTGTCAAAGAAATTAAAGTATTTTCATTTTAAAATCATTATCCAAAAATCATAAATTATCGGTAATCAACAAATTTCCTCATTACAGTGAAATTCGTCCAGAAGATGCTCCGTTACCAAAGATTGTTGCCGTAGATTTGCAAGCAATGGTATGTATATATATACATTTTGGATTAAGAAACTGATGATATATATTCTAATTCATTTTAGGCACCTCTTGAAGGTGTAATTCAAATCCAAGGTGACATTACAAAAGTATCTACTGCTGAACAAATTGTTTCTCATTTTGAAGGGGAATTGGCTGACCTTGTTGTTTGTGATGGTGCTCCTGATGGTAAATTATTTTCTAAATTACTTCTTTAAAATGTTTTCTTTTTCATTCTAACTCTAACCATTTTAAAGTGACTGGCCTTCATGATATGGATGAATACATTCAAGCACAGTTATTATTGTCGGCTTTAAATATCACAACTAATATATTGAAACCTGGTGGAACTTTTGTTGCAAAAATTTTTCGTGGTAAAGATGTCACTTTATTATATGCTCAACTTAAAATCTTTTTTCCAACCGTTACTTGCAGCAAGCCAAGAAGTTCAAGAAACTCCAGTATCGGTCCGTTGCTATTTATTTGAGTATCTCTTTGCAAATGATTTTTCTCCTTCAAAAATGTTCATGTTCGAATTTAATATTTTCTAGAAGCATTTGTTGTTTGTCAAATTTATACGCCACCCAAGGATTATAAACCAACAATGATAGATCCTTTACTTGATTTATCATACGGTTTGTAACTTATTATGTTGTCTTTTTCTTTATAATAAAATTGACTAGCTCAATTACTCATTAAGGTTTAGGAAATGAACTTTTGGGTCCAAATCGTGTGATCGTGCCATTTATAGCTTGTGGTGACTTAAGGTATATTAATTATAGTTTAATAAATAAATTTCTCTGATATCATTAAAATTTTTTTTCTTCTATCCAGTGGATTTGATTCGGACATGACTTATCCGCTTGAGGTAAATTATCAGACTTAACTCTACAATTAAAATAAAATTATAAATTATTTTTTAACTAAATTTTTTATATTACAGAAAGAAAGTCTGGACCCTTTACAACCTCCAATAAGTGCTCCATATCGGACTGCTATCAATTTGAAGCAAAATAACTTTTTTAACAAAATTTAATAACACACCGAGTTATAATCTTATATACCTATTTGTGTATAATATTTCTTTGTACTTCTGCCGTAGAGATTGGTTTAAAATGTTTTTTATATATTTATATAAATAAATACATTTTAATATTGAACCCAAATTTTTATTATTAAATTAAGAAATTTTCAGTCTATTTATCAGGGTTGTTAGTGGTAACTTACCATGGTAAGCTACTGGTAAGTTGTTGATAAGTTAATAAAAAAATTTTTTTAAGGTGGTGACTTACTCTAAATGCTTTATTTAATTGTATAATTGTATTACATGGTCATATACATTTAGATTTATATACATGAAGGCATGCAATCCGGCATTGGGTGGTGCAAACCTGAGATAAGTTTCTGTAATCATATAAATCTAAGAAACTGAAAAGATAGATGCCTGCTTGGCAAGACCCAAATAGAGAGGTAGTACAAACTTTCAACAGTGGCTACTGAAGTAGGCTTCACCCAAGGCCAGTTAACTAATGAGGCAAAAGCATCTGAAAAGTTGAAACTTGGTGTGAATTTAAAAAACACAATTAAATCCTTAAATTGTTCATTTTGTTAAAAATCACATATTTTTATAAATTTGCATAAAAAATCACCTTTTGTGCATTAAGTGTTTTTTGAGCGATTTTATTATATATATATACACTAAACTTCTAATTCTAATATATATGTTGTGCCTCTGTCGATTGGCCTGAATTAGAGTTAGAGTTAGGGTAAGGATTAGGTTATAATTTAGGCCAATTAATGTTGATCAGTTAATGTCGGCCAAATGATCAATACCTCAGCGAACATATAGATACGAAATTGACAGGGCGTAGGATCGATTTTTCGGTCACGTGATAGCTCCAGAAAACTTAGAATTTTTGTTTACATTAAGGTTTTGGTTTGATGGAAGTTCATTTTAGAGTTAC